ACATAAGACCCTTCCTTTGCCTGTCAAAAGCAGCAGAGAAAGAATGGTGATAAATCATTGTAATAACAGTGGCAGTGGACTGTCAGCTCGGGGAGGGAATCCAGATGAATATCCCTTTCCAAGCCATCAGTTTTAAGCAAATGAGAGGCCTAAAGCACAGAGTAAAAATAACTGTTGTAAACCGAGAGAATGACTCCAGATACAGAAGATATTCACTGACGGGATTTCCTTTTTTGTACTTTCTCTTCAAGGATGTCCAGACACTGTACAACCTCTTTAAATTTTTTTTTTTTCAACATTTATTTATTTTTGGGACAGAGAGAGACAGAGCATGAACGGGGGAGGGGCAGAGAGAGAGGGAGACACAGAATCGGAAACAGGCTCCAGGCTCTGAGCCATCAGCCCAGAGCCCGATGCGGGGCTCGAACTCACGGACCGCGAGATCGTGACCTGGCTGAAGTCGGACGCTCAACCGACTGCGCCACCCAGGCGCCCCTGTACAACCTCTTTAAATCAAGGGTTTTAACATTTGCAATTTCTTTTTAGCTCCGACAAGGGCCATGCTTGAAGTTTCTTATTTACCTTTGTCTCCCCGGTGCGTGGCACATGGTAATAACAATGGTGATGACAGTGATCGTAAACACTTGTTGAGTGTTTATTTTTTGTCTGGCCCTATTCTAGGTGCATTGCATATAATTTGTCTTTGCAACAACCCCAGGAGGCAGGTGCTACCACTCTGTCCATTTGCACATGAGAAAACTGGGGTGCAGAGAGGTCAAGGAGCTTGCCCAAGCCTCACAGTTGGTTATGAGCAGAGGTGCATGTGACCCTGGGTGGTCATATTCCAGAGCCCCTGACCTTTGCAGCTCCAGAACGATCAGCAAAAGCTTCGTGAATAACAACAATAAATTCACTCTTAACTTAGCACTCACTGTGTCTGCCACTGTTCTAAGTCTTTTGCAAAGACTTAGTCTTTTGCAAATTAACTCGTTTGCTATCGATATGTACTTATTCATAAATAATTTTTCCATCTCTATTGCCCCTTACTTGACATATGACTTCGTGTAAGTTCAAGATGTACAATGTGATGATTTGATACAAGTTACATTGCAAAATGATTACTGCAATAAGATGAGTTAACACATCTATCACTTGACGTAAGTACAATTTGTGTGTGTGTGTGTGTGTGTGTGTGTGTGTACATATGGGTGGTGAGAACATTTGAGATCTACTTTCTTAGCAACTTTTAGGCATATAATACAGCATTTTATTTTACTTATTTATTTATTTATTTTTAAATATATGAAATTTATTGTCAAATTGTTCTCAGTTTTTAAGAGTCTCTTATGCTTTGGCTCTCTCCCACTCTAACCTCTCTCTCTTTTTTTTTTTTTCCTTCCCCTCCCCCATGGGTTCCTGTTAAGTTTCTCAGGATCCACATAAGAGTGAAAACCTACGGTATCTGTCTTTCTCTGTATGGCTTATTTCACTTAGCATCACACTCTCCAGTTCCGTCCATGTTGCTACAAAGGGCCATTATTTCATGCTTTCTCATTGCCACGTGGTACTCCATTGTGTATATAAACCACAATTTCTTTATCCATTCATCAGTTGTTGGACATTTAGGCTCTTTCCATAATCTGGCTACTGTTGAAAGTGCTGCTATAAACATTGGGGTACAAGTGCCCCTATGCATCAGTACTCCTGTATCCCTTGGGTAAATTCCTAGCAGTGCTACTGCTGGGTCAGAGGGTAGATCTATTTTTAATTTTTTGAGGAACCTCCACACTGTTTTCTAGAGTGGCTGCACCAGTTTGCATTCCCACCAATGGTGCAAGAAGGTTCCTGTTTCTCCACATCCTCTCCAGCATCTATAGTCTCCGGATTTGTTCATTTTGGCCAATCTGACTGGTGTGAGGTGATATCTGTGTGTGGTTTTGATTTGTATAATACACTATTTTAAATACAATCATCATGCTGTATATTAAATCCTCAGAATTTATTCCTCTTATAACTGAAAGTTTTATCCTTTGGCCAATATCTCCCCATTTCCCTCACCCCTGACCCCTGGCAACCACCAATCTTCTCTTTGTTTCGAAGAGTTTGGCTTCTTTAGATTGCACATGTAAGTGAGGACATCCAGTATTTGTCTTTCTCTGACTTATTGTACTTAGCATAATTCCTCGGGGTCCATCTATGTTGTTGCAAATGGCAGGATTTCCTTCTGTCTTATGGCTAATATTCCATTGTGTGTGTGTGTGTGTGTGTGTGTGTGTGTGTATACACATATATACATATACGTATATATATAGTATGTATAATAGTGATTTCATTTCCTTCCACCCAGAAGTGGAGTTGCTGGGTCGTATGGCATTTCTATTTTTAATTTTTTGAGGCACCTCCATACTGTTTTCTGTAGTGGCTGTACTAGTTTACATTCCCACCGGTAGTGCACCAGGGCTCCCTTTTTGCCGTATCCAGGCCAGTGCTTGTTATTTCTTGTCTTTTTGAAGATAGCCACTCTAACAGGTGTGAGGTCAGAGCTCTTTGTGGTTTTGATTTGTGATAAGTAATCGAATCATCACTGATGTTTACTGAGTGAACATATAGGTACTTTTAAAAAAAATCTCTAATTTACTGGAGATAAGAAAACTGAGGCACTGAGCAGTTTAGGAAATTCTCCAAAGGTCATAGCTATTAAGGGGAAGGAGATCTGACTTACAATTGCTGGGTGATCTGGGGAGTCCCTGGGCTCTGGGACCCTGACCCAGACAGATCTGAAGGAGTCACGGAAGGTTCTTGGTCTTGTCATAAGAATGAATTCAAGGTCAGATATGAGGCACAGTGGGCAAGCAACACAATCGGGAAAGCTTATTAAAGGGAAATGTATACTTGAGAGATGGGGGAGGCAAGGGAGGGAGAGAGTGAGAGTCAGAGAGGGGGGGGGAGAGAATGAGATACATCCGGGGGGGGGGGTGGATTTCTATCTCTCATCAGCTGTTGTTAACTAGGGGCAAAATATTCATTACCTGGAGCAGGAAGCAGGCTTTCTGCTTTTTCTTCCTAATTTGGTCACCGCTTTCCTGTTGTGGCATCTGCCATCTTGGGCCTGTCTGGTTTGATCAGGCTTCTTGTAGAGAGCTGCCAGCACAGTTCTCTGACCTTCCAGTTAGCCAGCCATGACTTCCTCATTGTTGAGCTCCAGATATCCTGCTGGAACCTGAGTGCCGACTCTAACACTACTTACTGTCTGTGCTCCTAACCACTGAGCAACACCAAATCCTACATGAACAAATCATGAAATTCATCTTCGTGGGTATGGGGTGGGGGTGGGGGAAGGCATTTGTTGAAAAGAATCATTGCCGCATCTTTAAGGCAGTTTACAAGTAACCATTTGCTATAGTCAACTAATAAGCAACCAACTCAAGAACTTTTTTTATTCATTCATTGAAGCAGCTTTTTCACAACCTAAAAGTGACTGCATAGCAGTGCCTTGCTACTCAAAGTGTCGCTCTCAGACCAGGAGCATTAGCATCACCTAGAAACTCATTTTAAAAATTCACATTGGTTAACATACAGCATAGTCTTGGCTCTAGAAGTAAAACCCAGTGATTCATCCCTTACATATGACACTCTGTGATCATCCCAACAAGTGCCCTCCTTAATGCCCATCACCCATTTAGCCCACCCCCACCCACCTCCCCTCCAGCAACCCTCAATTTGTTCTCTGTATT